CACCACATGCCATTAATTCAATACTGAATGATGTACATTTAACACCAATCATTGTTAATTTAACACCATACACTGTTAATTCCAGATCATAATCTGTTGATCACTTCCATCATAAAATCTATATACCACTGCACATTATCTTCATTCATACGTGTATGGTGCATTCATGCAGGAAAACGACTCCTCGGCTCAATATTCTTTTTTTTAATCCACATGATATTTGAGGTTTCTGAAGTTTACTCAAATTTTAAAGTAGCGGACTCACCCTTCCTTATCGGGGTCACCGAATAGGTTGTCTGTGATGGCGTCCGAGAAATGCCTGTCCACCTTTTGCGAATTCTGAACCGTCATACCCCTCAGAATGGAATCGACGGCTCCATCGGGAATGGATTCATCGTATATGTATGTGGCGTTGAAGAATGCCTCGGTGAGTTTGATCTCGTCGAATCGCGGCCTGTAATTCCTGTTGACACGAGTGATGTCGAACGGCACCAGAGTATGACCGAAGCGGAACGCGGCGGCAGCAAACACGTTGGCGCTGGATGCGTCCACGGCCGGGTTGTACGCGTACGTTGAGTCTGGCGAAAGCCCCTCGGACGCGTACAAGTCTGCCCCAACGATCAGCGGCAAGAACTCGTTGTAGACAATGTGCTGCCACTCGGCCCCGACGATCTTACGGGCTGTCTGGTAGACGTTAAACGGACTCAGAGTCGAGTCGAGGCTTAGGAGGGCGTCGGCGACGCGGTTATGTTCCCGCAAGAAGAGAGTGTGCAGGGCGGTCAAGCCAGGTTGCTCAGGGGCGCGACCGTCACCGGCTTTGCCGCAATAAATACCCTCAGTTTCGTTGACCCCGGCGCAAAGATCAAGGTCTACATCGGGGGGAAGCAACTGGCGGCCAGTTACACCGTCGGTGTCGTGTAACAAGAATCCATTACCTGTTGAAGGAATATACAGGGTCGTGTGGATGACAGGGCCAGAATCATTGGAAAAAATGGCCTTGTCTTTGTTTTAAATGTTAGATTTTGGGTCGGGTTTATGCCCCAAACGGAAAACTAAACTTAAACTCTAAGAACTTTCGAAGTATAGTTGACTTTCTCAGATCATCGGCAAAAAAATTAACAACTTAAAATTGTTTGGCAAATTCACTGTCACCAATGGAAAATTAATTTAAACTGCCAATTTCCTATCAAAATGAAATTTATAAACCGAACGGAAATTATCGCCATGTTACCATTAAAATGTAATAGTCAAACAAGTTAACAGCCGAATATGATAGCGAAATTAGGCGTATAAGAAATACAATTGCTCAACATCACTAGCTTGAATAATGATTTGTCCATTAATTTCTGAACCAATTTTAACTAAAACAAAAGTAAAACATAATCTATTGTGAGGCTTATACCGGTAGAATTTGTTGTTACTCGAAAGCCAATTTCACGCCATTCCAGGTTTCATATACCTGTATAATCGTGTTTTATCTTTACCATTGGTTTTCACCTTACAAAATAATTAAAATCATTTAATTCCAAACAAAGCACTTATTTGACCTTAATATGCACAGAATAGGTGCCAGCAAGTTTTCCTTTTGATTAATGAAAATATGGAATTCTGACCTTAATTGGACAATTCAACAAAGATACCGATAGTAGGTTGTCCAGTTGGTATTATGGCCACCATTACTTACAAGTTTTTATCCTTGTCTAAATAGTGACTTTGTATAAAAATGTGACCTGCTCCAAAAATTCAAAAAGCTGAAGGGTTACATGAAGGTCAGTGGACAATACAACAGGACATCTTAAGGCAATTAACAGTCATATTATAACTTCCTGTTTACTTGAAGCCTTTTTTAATTTGTCCGCAAACGAAGAAACGTTGGACGAGCAAATCAATTAATTCAGGACTTTAAACAGTCAACATGGGTGAAATGGTAGTTTTGTGTTCCAGGTTGAAAATCATTTTATAATGACCTTATATGTGATTTCGAAGCTTTTTGAATTACGGTTTGAGACCTTCATCTTTATAAACGCTGAACCGTAAAACCGTATCGGATGGAAAAAGTGTTTTGCTTAAACTCAGAGTCAGAAGATGATGGTTTGTATTGTTAACATTTGTGTGTCTATGAAGACTGCATAAGAAAGTAATAGACACATTTCCAGCAACTGCCGCAGGTTCATCAAGATTTGGTTAGGATACAGTTATTTGCTTTGAAAACTTTTCCTATCTTAGGCTATACATAAACAATCACATGTACTAACTGTCAATCAGGTCAAGTGCAGAGGCGTCGTCCGAGCCGTACACGAACGACGCGTCCAGGTAGCCGGTGATGGAGTTAATGTGCTGACGGACGCCAGAAGAGTCCGTCTCAAAATTCGACCTGACGAAAGGGAAGCAGGCTTGGACCCCGCCAAAGACAGGGTCCGCGTTGTTGATGAGGATTGAGAAACACTCCCCGTCCACGGAACAATCAGAACAGTTGACTGTGATAACAAATACGATCATTATCATATTAAATTTGGAAAACTCACAACTTTTCAAACTCATAATAAACTATACTTGCTAAAGAATTTGAAGATAATTGTTCCAGAAGACACATCATTTCCTTTGATTAATTCATTACATCGAAGCTAACATTTTATATCTTCCCTTAAAGGGTAGCCTGCAATCAATTTCCTTTAATGCAAACTTTCAAAATGCACCTTGGGTCTTAGTTAACCTTATTTTTGATTGTATGCAAATTATACTTCCATATTCACAACAAAACTGTGATGTCATCTCGGGAAGAAAGCATCAATGTTACGTTTGGTTTGTACACAAAAAGTACTGCACTGTAGAATTTGCTAGACTAAATATTCTCTTCTTTGCTGATTCATCGTTGCTTATTAGCATAGAAATAAGTAAGCATCAGTGTCTTTCTCATAGGCCTAATTTTTTTCAGTAAGGAAATACTGGGTTCAGGATTTTAAGAGAAAAACCTGTGCACTGAATAATGTCTTCCCTGGATGACATCGCACCAACAGTGCCCTCTGTTGTCCAAGAAAGTATGGGCATTTTACGTGTTTCGAAAAGTACGCTTAATTATGCAATTAACCAAATAGGAATGTCAAAGAATTTTCACACATTGAAATACCAAGTTGCAAAAAAAAGAAAAGAAAAATGTCTGTAAGAAAAATTCATTTCTCTGGAACCCCAACTGTTTCTAGAGAACACGAATAAACTGGTTACTGAAGGAACGTGGAGTGCAAAAACTCTTTCTCACTTAGGGCCTATAATACAACCCGGAAAGAAACCTTTTATTGTACAAGTTAAAAAGCCCCAAACACACAAACCCCCAAATGGAAATAGCAACATGTCTTCAGAATTAAATTACATTAATGATGACAGATATGGTTGTTTCTTACCGTCACTTGGGGTGTGTACCGCTGTCAGGTCGTGGTCGGTCAGCTGTCCAAAATGCATTGCCAGCGTCGTTAAATCAGATAGTGTCGTCTCTCTGTTGTCAAAGACTGCGCGAGACGCGTTCCGAGCGTTGGGCAGCGGACCGCCAGCTACCGACTTCGTGCGCGGTTTGGAAAGACCTGTGCGCACGAAGCATAAAATAATCAGTACCGTTTCCCTTGGCGATTTTTTATATAATACGCTGGGGAAACTGAATAAAGGCTGTAATAATGTGGCTCTATTGAATTTCTCAAAGCGAAGTAAAGACCGACATTTTAACAAAGGAAGATTCCACAAGGGGTAAAGACTAGTCTCCTCTCAAAACCGACAATGAGACCATTTTCTCATTATGAAAGAACATGGGAAGTTGTTAAAAAAAATTTAAAAAGCACGCTTCCTGCGTCGAGGCATGGTTTTGAATTTTATCGTGCCTGATATTTTACCGACAAAACATTTCAGTTGAAAATTACGAGAACGGAGTTGTTAATCCTGCGCAAAAGTCAGAAGATCGCTGAGCCAAGTGGGGAGAGTATTAACAGAAATTCAAACTGAATGAAAAGTCAAACATAATCTTCACCTTGAAATTTAGTTGAATAGCGAGAGCGACACGATAAGAAAGTCCAAAACGCGAACGCAAGTGAAGCGAAGTTGAAGATACTAAACCTCTGTATCTTAAAATTACCTAAAGTATTTTACTTAATTATATTCAACATTTGCAAAGTCGGAGTGCAAATACTAGCTTCGCCTTGAAATATACCAGGAAAGCATTGATGCTTTAAATTTAATGTGGACCTTTTTGACACTCACCGTCATCATAAGCGTTGTCCACTACCCGGATCAACAGTGTTTCTGCGGCGCCTTGTTCTGGTTTAGCAATATTGTTACATGAGCCGTCAATCGTTCGGTACTGAGGAGTTGTAGTGGCACACGTTTGCCTTGTCTCCAAGGTGTGCTTGATCTCAGCGATGCGGCTTTCTATGTCCTCGGTTGAAAGCCTGCAGTAATGACGAGTTTTTTATATGGCATCTCGGATGCGCAAGAAGACGTTGAGAAAATTGTGAACAATGTCTGAAAGAACCCATGCCAATGATTACTGAATCGAATTAAGTGGAATTTACAAATGAGATTACCACCCAAGCTCTTCCTCAATAGCTACGTTTCCATGTCGCAGAAGACTCTTTAAGGTGTTTTTGAGTTTGTTAACTATGAGTATGTTTGGACGCAATTTTTACTTGCCTTTGGTCAACGTTTGGGAGCCACTCACTATATTGCTTGAGAAAAACATGGCAAAGATTCTTACAAACATACTTTGGCACCAGATGACAGCACGGGCTTGCATTCCCATTCCAGCTGGTCAACTTTTTTTTATTTAAAGCTTTGTATCTACTGAAATTATTTTTTAAAGTACATATCAAAGCATGATTGTTAATTTTTTCGACTTCCCCCTAATACTAAATTAGTACAAGTAAACTTTTTTCTTAACCTGATCAGTCAGCACTTTTGCCCCGGCCTCCATTTCTGAATTGTGGATTATAATCCCCAAAAGAAAAAAAGAATGGTTACACTCTTGTAAATGTGCGTTCTCTTTCCTCGAGCATTTTGAGATACGCCTGAAGTTTTTTCCTGTTCATGGGCGATCTTCTGGCACTGTTGAATTGATTCCACAGGCCGAAAGGGGTTCGACCTGTAACAAATCAAAATCAAAAAGCCTGTTGAAATCAGCTGTAAGATCTAGACTCTGATAGTCACGGCTGCCCAACAATTTTTGTTCTCAGGAAAGCTGACACCTCCATGAACAAATACATTTAACTATGTCCTTTCATCATTTTCTTAAGAAGCGTACCATTTTTCTGGTTCGAGTAGCCTTTCATGTTTTCATCTTTGAGTAGGAGATCCTCCAGATCTTCCAGCATCCCTACGTCTTTATCCAGCAGAGTGCAGGAACCAAGCGACACCAGCAAAGCTAGCAACAAGAGCCTGGCCGAAACAAAACGATAAAAACGATTGCAAGAAAATATGAAGATGGCCTTGTAAACAGGGTGTTTCTTTAAAAGAGTTCAGCTGATAAAAGTGTGCGACTCAAAATTTGTAGTAGCATGCATATTGCACGTTTCGGTGATTATACCAACGACTTTTAANTTTCAGAAAAATCTCACCTGTACATTGCGAAGAGTTTTAATTCACAGCCACGTTCGACAAGGTGAGATGTTAACGTTGATTCACGTTTATCAGCAGATTTTCCGAGCAAGCTGCCCTATAACCACGCCGATAGTCATCTCTGCCAGCAATTATGCAGATTGTAAGTAATAGACGGCGTTTGCATTGGCCAATCAGTGCATGCCTGCATTTAACAAATTGATGCGAATGGGCAGTCGCTGTGGAGTGGATGGTTCCTCAGCCAGTCAGATTTTACGTCAGAAAAGTTGATACAACAAACAAAATAGAGCCACGGGCGTCACTAGAAAGGGGGTGTCGGTAGTGTCACAACCCCCATTGGTTACTTTTGTCGGCAAAATCACGATCTATCGGCAAAATAAAAAAAATTAAAAAAAAAACCAAGAACGGAGAATGAAGATGAAAGGAAGGGGGATACAGTACAATCGTTTAGCGTGACAGTGATGGTGACAAATTTCACGCGGCACCCCCCTTCAAAATGGTCTAGCGACGCCCGTGGACAGAGCCTATCAGAGAAAGAGAAAGTGGAGGTGCCGACACTTTACGGATGGTGAAATTTATCCCAGTATAATTAGATCATTATTTACAAGGTCATTGCCTATCAAACAGGCGGGTTGTTCAGCGTTTTCTGAACCAATATGAAACGTGTAAACAATGCATATTAATCACGTATTTCAGCGACTGAAATGTGTCTGCTTCAGCTAGTAATATTAATCTTTCATAAACCGATAAAAAAGACCAGGTCACCGTATGGACACGGAGAAAGACACGAGGAAAGAATATGGGCTGGAATACGATTGAACACAATGACCATATGGTTGGTCACTGTTTGTTAATTTGCTCATTTCTGATCTAGTCAGACATTTGTGGTTAAGCGTGCAAATTCGTGCAAATGTCTTTAGGGTGCCATGCATGGCGAGAAACCGGTTCCTTATACCATGAAATCTATTGGTTTATTTTTATTTGCTAACGTATGTAAGCCATGACACTTGAGAACCAGCCGGCATTCTTGCCTGCTAAAAGCCTTCCACAAATTACTGAATGGGAAATGCACCAAGAACTGCGTGGATTAAATTTTAATAAATCGGTAGGTCCAGACTGCATTCCAAATAGGATTATTAAAGAGTTTGCATGTGAACTAAGTACACCAGTTCCTGATATTTTCAATTGGTCACTTAGAGGGACATTGCTCTTCAAGTTTGGAAAAGTAGCCATCGTTGCACCAATTCCGAAGGAACATCCATCTTCTATTTCCAAACTGAGGTCAATATCGCTCACCACGCATTTATCAAAATTTGTTGAGGGTTTCATTTTTAAGTCGTTGACGGCTGGCATTAGAGGTTACATTGATAAACACCAGTTAAGTAGTCTCAGTGGATTGTCCACCAGTGTTATGTTCGAGTCCATCACAAGTCCCTGTAAGTCCATCACAAGTCCATCACAAGTTTTTCAGTCTTAAGCCTATGCACAAGCTATTCAAATAAGCTGAGACAATTGTTTACCCTTGTGCATAAAACTGGCCTGTGTTTGAGTGATAATGGCACTCTCCCATCCAGTGACGTTCCTCCATGGTTGTTTTGTTTGGGCTGGCTGTTGCGGGTCGTGTTCAATTCTGTCCCTTTTTATGTCCTTTTTTGAAATGTAATTTGTGGTGGACATAAAAAGTGGTTTGGTTAGCTTTCCGATTCAGATTTTATGTTATGTTTTGGGGGGTAAGTAGAGGGTTAGTTTGCAAACCCTCTCTTATAGAAAGAACATGTTTTCGTGCCTAGCAAATGGGGTACTCTTCAGTCGCACATAGCGGTTCCTAT